TAAATATTTCTACAACAATCCTGAGATAATTGTTTAAACTAAAGGTGTGACAAATGTTTTAGATATGCGTTCTTTAATCAATTTTCGTAATGAACACATGTTTTTGCAATACCCATTTTTTTTTATAAATATTTGACATACATGTATATATAATATATGTAAATATATATATAAATATTATATAAAGAGAACATTTTATTTCACAAATATAGGGAATGCAATAAATAAATAAATATGAAAGAATTGGTGGTGTTCAACATCAAAGTGTTGCCAATGTTCCGAATACATGTATCTCATCCGCCATTTTTGTTAATCTCTGACTTGTTGTTTTTGCCTTATTTAAACTTGCGTGGGTCGGTTCTACAAAAGATATGTTTTAATTGATTATTTTGAAGGAATTAGTAACGATTTGCCACACTAACGATTCGCCACAAAGTACTAACGATTCGCCACAGTTAAATAACGATTCGCCACAGTATGATAATAACAATGATTTTCTTTAGTAATCAACAAACTGTTTTCTTTTTTTTAATAATTTTATAATGTTTCTTAATACAAGTAATATGAAGTTAAGGCCCCATTGCGGATTTTAAATTTATCAAAGTAACATTATTACATGAGTACATTTATAAGAAAGTAATTATATGTTGAAAAAAAACATTGAATTAATCGTAAACATATATGTCAATTAATTTAATATCTTTCAGAACAGAAATTGGTCACTGACAAGTTATCAATATTTAAAATACTGATACTCACGGTTCACCAAACTTAAATAATCATCATGCTACCATGTTCTTAATTATCTTTCAGTTAAATGTATATTCTCTGTATTTGCAAAAAAAAGAAAATTCGGAGGTATGCAAAATACTACATCATCTATATAGACGCCTTACTTTTTAGCTCACCTGTCACAAAGTGACAGGGTGAGCTTTTGTGATCGCTTAGTCCGGCGTCCGTCCGTCGTCCGTCCGTCCGTAAACTTTTATTTTAAATGACATCTCCTCATAAACCACTAAGCCAATTTCATCCAAACTTCACAGGAATGTTCCTTTGGTGGTCACCTTTAAAAATTGTTCAAAGAATTTAATTCCATGCAGAACTCTGGTTGCCATGGCAACCGAAAGAAAAAACTTTAAATATCTTCTTTTAAAAAACCGTAAGAGCTAGAGCTTAGATATTTGGCACGAAACATCTTCTAGTGAGTGTCTACAAAGTATGTTCAAATAAAAGCCCTGGGGTCAAAATTGGCCCCGCCCCGGGGGGTCATTGATTTTCCCTATATACATATAGTAAAAACTTAAAAAATCTTCTTTTAAAGAACCAAAAGAGCTACAGCTAAGATATTTAGCATGAAACATGTTCTAATGGGTGTCTACCAAGTTTGTTCAAATAAAAGCCCTTGGGTCAAAATTGGCACCGCCCCGGGGGGTCATTGATTTTTCCTATATGCATATAGTAGAAACTTAAAAAATCTTCTTTTAAAGAACCAAAAGAGCTAGAGCTAAAGATTTTTAGCATGAAACATGTTCTAATAAGTGTCTACCAAGTTTGTTCAAATAAAAGCCCTGGGTTCAAAATTGGCCTCGCCCCGGGGGGTCATTGATTTTCCCTATATGCATATAGTAAAAACTTAAGAAATCTTCTTTTAAAGAACCAAAAAAGCTAGAGCTAAGATATTTAGCATGAAACATGTTCTAATGGGTGTCTACCAAGTTTGTTCAAATAAAAGCCTGGGGTCAAAATTGGCCCACCCCGGGGGGTCATTGATTTTCCCTATATGCATATAGTAAAAACTTGAAAAATCTTCTTTTAAAGAACTCAAAGAGCTATGGCTAAGATATTGAGCATCAAACATGTTCTAATGGGTGTCTACCAAGTTTGTTCAAATAAAAGCCCTGGGGTCAAAATTGGCCCCACACCAGGGGGTCATTGATTTTCCTTATATGCATATAGAAAAAAACTTTAAAAAAATCTTCTTTTAAAGAACCAAAAGAGTTAAAGCTAAGATATTTAGCATGAAACATGTTCTAATAAGTGTCTACCAAGTTTGTTCAAATAAAAGCCCTGGGGTCAAAATTGGGCCTGCCCCGGGGGATCATTGATTTTCCCTATATGCATTATAGTAAAAACTTAAAAAATCTTCTTTTAAAGAACTCAAAGAGCTATGGCTAAGATATTTAGCATCAAACATGTTCTAATAGGTGTCTACCAAGTTTGTTCAAATAAAAGCCCTGGGGTCAAAATTGGCACCGCCCCGGGGGGTCATTGATTTTCCTTATATGTGTATAGCAAAAACTTAAAAAATCTTCTTTGAAAAAACCCAAATAGCTAGAGTTAAGATATTAAGCATGAAACATCTTTTAGTGAGTGTCTTCAAAGTTTGTTCAAATAAAAGACCTGGGGTCAAAATTGGCCCCGCCCCGGGGGTCATTGATTTTCTTTATATGTGTATAGCAAAAACTTAAAAGTCTTCTTTGAAAAAACCCAAATAGCTAGAGTTTAGATATTAAGCATGAAACATCTTCTAGTAAGTGTCTACAAAGTTTGTTCAAATAAAAGCCCTGGGGTCAAAACTGGTCCGGCCCCAGGGGTGTCATTGTTTTTAACTATATGTGTATAGTAAAAACTTTAAAAAAATCTTCTTTCAAAAAGCCCAATGAGCTAGAGCTTAGATGTTTAGCATGAAACATCTTCTTATGGGTGTCTACCAAGTTTGTGCAAATAAAAGCCCTTGGGTTAAATTGGCCCTGCAACGTTTGGGGGGGGGGGTTGGTGGGGCCTATATACAGGTGAGCGACCTCAAGGCCATCATGGCCCTCTTGTTAAATATAACTTTCTAGTTTTAGAAAATGACATATTACATGTAAATTTTAAGCATGCATAGAATTGCTGGAAAATATGTGCTATTTCAATAATGAATAACCATCTACTGTAAGTCACCAAATGGCAATAAGGCCATCCTTAAGTAAATGTTTGTTTGCAGTAACCCGACCCAGAATTTTCAAGGTGGGTAGGTAGGTCGATTTTTTTTTTTATTGAACTGTACTCCCAAATAAACATGGAATTTCAAAATGCTGGACAATATATGCTTTGATAATCTGGTAAAAAAAAATTAATAAATTGATAACTGAATTCTAATTTAATAAGACCTACATTTTATTTCTTCTATTAACCTTTAAAAGAACGAAAACAAAGCACAAGGCATAATTTTCAATTTCTGATTTAAAATTATTTTTTTTTTATCCAGACCATGAAAAAAAATTTTGAGTAGGGGCAAATTTTGTGAGTCGGTCGCGTTACTGCAAACAATCATTTTTTTAAGGATGGCCTAATATGCATAAATAAACAATTATCACTTATTAAATTACAACTTTAGTAATTTATATAATGCGATAAGTAATTATATGGTCTGTTAAACAAATATTTTTCTTATTCTGTCTCCAAATCAAATGTTATCTATAATTCTAACACAACCCGCATTTTACCCTATTGAACATAGAAGAACTGAAAGTGTGTGTTATTATGCAATAAAATCTCTGGTGACATTCTATATTTAGACATATAACGTAATCATTATAAAAATGCAAAGCGCTGAAATAAGTACAGAAACAAATCAGGCGCAATTTTGCTTCATATCAGGTATGGCAGCATTTATTTGTTAATGTGGTGTTAGATTCGAAATAATGTATCAAAATTGGGGGTTTTATCGCTTGATAAAATCACTTTTTGTCGTTCGGATGCGCATCATTATATCACTTGGGCTACGCCCTCACGATATATTTCCTCGCATTTGAACTCCAAACAGTGATTTTATTGAGGGATAAAATCACAGTTTAGGATATATACTGTGCTCCTCTTAGGTCACGGTACTTAACACTTTAAAACAGTAAAGAACACAAACAATAAACTCACACTACCAAAACTGTCATAAACTGTATCATTTAGTCATTTTTCTGCTATATGACACAAGGAAACAACAATATATTCAATCAAAATAAGTTTTAATTTGTCAGATGTAGACCGTGTGTCGGACATTTTGAAAACAGTATGTCATCATTTAACTCGCGGTAATGGTGTTTTATTTCAGTTTTTTCATGTTTCAGTTAAATTGTCTTTATGTTATTTTGCATAATTTTAAATATAAAAAGTATCTTTACATTGTAACTCAAAATTTATTTTTTCAACAAACAAGATCATTTAGAAAATGATGATTGTTTCAGACGTATGCACAAATTTAATGGACTATTGTTGTTTTTTGCAGAAGTTTGTAAAATGTTGCTCAGTTTTACGTAAAAATCTATAGATTTAAATTATTTTGCACAAAACTTTGTTGTTAAGGTGTTTGAATAAAATATGTCAATTCTGACCAATTTTAACACTGGTCACATGAAAATATGCCATTACCGCGAGATAAGTGTTGACGCGGAATTAGTGATGTTGAGTATATTATTTCTTAAAGAAAATTATACCAAATATATGCATTTAATAAATATCCAAACCACACACAATTTCAATCACTAAAGTGGGCGAATTGTCACTTAAGTGTGGCATGTCATTATGGGGTGAATTGTCAGTGGGGGGAATTGTTGTGTTACCTTTTATCAGATGCAACAGTTAAGTTTTAAATTAAACACATTAAACTTTATTTTAAATACGCAAATATTCTTCTCACAATTATCCACTGGTGGCTATGATTCATTAACACAATCATTTTCAAGCTGCTAGTTTGATACACTATTTTTTGATTATTTTCATATAATCCAAAGGTTCATTGTGAAGAAATTTGGCAGATAAATTAAATTTAGTGTGATGTTTAAACAAAACAATTGTTTTTGTTTTTTTATGAACAAACATCTGGCAAGACATTTATTTAACAGAAATGATGTTAACTTTCATTGTTGAATTTTTAATATTTTCAGATTATGTGATAAAAAATTTTTTTAGACAACCAAAAAATGTATTTTATGGTGAATGCAGAATGCATATTTTTTAGAAATACATGACTTTGATTTCTAACAATTGATACCCTAGTTTTTTCTTCAGAGAACAAAAGAGGAGTTTGTAAACTTGAATTGGAGCCAAGGAGACCTGCAGAAAGACCAAATATACTAGCATGGGAACAGGTAAGTGCGTTAAATTTTATTAACTATTGAACCCCCAACCTTCCCCAATAAAAGCAAAAAGCAACAACAACAAAAATGAATCAATAAAACTAAATTAATATAACATCAACTAGGACAGCTAAGTAACACATATGAGGGGAATACACACATGTGAGAAAGTCTAGTACTTTAACTTTTGTAAAGCTATTCCAGCTCGGTAAGCGCACAGCGGTTTAGAGCACATGTTGATTTATTTGAAAGGTTTTGGTTGCAAGTTTGAACCTTGCACAACTGGGATTTTTAAAAAAAAAATTATTTGGATCTTTTGTGTTTCAGATATTTAATCTTTATAAGGGTTATGATATTTATAAGATATCATTCAAATGTTTGTTTATGTTATGAAAATCAAACTTATTTCATTTTACAGAAAAACACAGTTTTTTTGCCAGAGGATTTGAAGAGTTTCTTCATGACATCTGATGGATTTCAGTTAACATGGTGTGTTAAAATTGAAAGTAAGTAAATATGTTAAGCATGTTTATTACTATAATTATGGTATGTGTTAATGTATGAATATTTTTCACCATTCAACATTAAATATACAAGCTCTTAATTTATAGCTTGATTGAATACAAACAGAAGTTTTTGCATATTTAAGTATCCCAACTTAATACCAATTCTCTGTGTGTAATTGCAAAATGTTTTTTTCTTCATTGGATTTGTGAAATAATATATAAAGATATTAGTAGAGAAAATTAATGTATGTTAATTTTCTTTATTCTTGCACAGCTTAATTTTTACAGTGGACTTACCCTACCCCAAATTTGCAACTAACTAAGATTTAGCAGCTGTCAATATAACCTCTGGTCAGGCTCAGTGTTTATGCTTACTATCCTGACTTTATACTTTCTTATCATTTAAATATTTAAATTATTTTCCTCTATCTTGTATGATTTCTTGTGGATATTATTTCAGAATTATCCATTGCTCCCATTATGTCAAGCTATTATGATCACTGTGTCATTATTGTCGTGCCAACACTTTGACGTTGTTAGACAAGGGGCATAAGTCTGAAAGCTATATTTTTGAAGTTATAGGGATTGCCACTTTTAATCTAAGAATTTTTGTCAAAATAGATTAATGATTTTCATTGCCCTTGACAGACAAGGGTGTCAGTGCCCTTAATGGACACGGGTTAATACTGCATGCGGTGTTCTTGATATTAAAAATGATTTGTACACCAAATGTTTAAGATATTATTCCGTCATTTTTAGCTCGACTTTTCTATGAAAAGGGGAGCTATCCTACTCGCCCCGGCGTCGGCGTCGGCGTTGGCGTCACACCTTGGTTAAGTTTTTCGTACCACCCCACTTTATTTCAGAAGTATTACAAGTATGGCTTTGAAACTTACCATACTTGTTCACCATCATAACCTCCATCTACAGACAAGAGTACATAACTCTGTCAAGGTTTTTGACAGAATTATGGCCCTTTTTTGACTTAGAAAGTGTATTGAGCTTGGTTAAGTTTTTTGTACCACCTCACTTTATTTCAAAACCATTGGAGGTATTGCTTTGAAACTGACCATACTTGTTTACCATCACGACCTTCATCAACAGACAAGAGGACATAACTCTGTCAAGGTTTTTGACAGAATTATGCCCCTTTTTGACTTAGAAAATACATTGAATATGGGTAAAATCCACTTATTGCCTTAACCCTTTGAGATATTGCTTTGAAACTTTTAATGCTATTTCACATCATTACCCCCATCTGTACGCAAGAGAAGGTAACTCTGTCAAGGATTTGTTTTAAAAATTAAGGCCTTTTATCGACTTAGAATCTTGGTTAAGTTTTTAGTACCAGTCCACTTTTTGACTGAACTGTTTGAGATATTAATTTGAAAGTTGGAATACTTGTTTACAATCATGATTCCCAAACATGTCCAGGAGAAGGTAATTCTGTCAAAGATTTTATTTGAATTATGGCCCTTAACTGTCAATGTTTTGTATTATAGGCAAGCACTAAAAAACTTAAAAAAATCTAAAAAAAATTCATTCCTATCCACTTGTTCACTTTACCATAAATTATGTCATATAAACATTGCTGTAATATTCAAGGGTATCAAACAACTAGTTATTTTTCTCTTTTTGTACTTGAAATTAAAATCAGTAGTATATGCATATTTCACATTTTATCTCGCCTATTTGATTGGTGGACAAGTTACACAATTCAGTAAAATAATTCTTCACTAAATATCTTAATGCTCATGGCCATTGTTCACTTTAAAAATACAGAGATTCTTGTATTGCCTTTTACTGCAAAAACTTTTTTTATTGGCAAGCAATAAAAAAGTCGAGCGCGCTGTCTTACGGACAGCTCTTGTTAACCAACCTAGAGAACATATTGCCATTATCTAAGGAGGGGACAAACTGTTGTTCCATTGTGCAAGAAACTTGACTCATTGCTCAGTACTGGTTGGTTCTAAAAATAGATTCAAGGGTGTGGTTGTAAGATCATAGCTGCCCACACCATCAAACTAAAACAAATTTGTATAAACTAAATTAAGCATTATTTTTACTTTGTTATATCAGATGGGCCTATACCTGTTGGAAAGATGTATCTGAACAGTATTAGCAAGATGCTCAAGTTTGGTGGTTCCACAAATAACACTTTAGTCAATCCAAGTCTAGCTGACCTTGATGCAGACTCAGATAATGAAGATGAAACTTCAGGTAAATTGCTTCATAGTAGCACTCGTAATTCATCTTTACAACCACCAAAAGTATTCTCTAAAAACTTTACATAATTATGTCAAACTCTTGATTTTTTTTGTAGTGTCTGTTTTGCTAGCTAAAAATGTTACACCCTTTGACATTGTTACAGTCAGAACAGAGCAGAACATATCTTTATTAACTCAAGTTACATAAGGAACACATGAGTATATATAAAAACAGTGGTATACCTAGTTGTGATAAATCTTTGTTTGTATATACTGCTATAGCATATTCCGTTTATATTATTGACTAATGCATCAATTACTTGTTTGTAGGGACAGAAAAACCAACATTCGATTGTCGATGTAAGATATTTGAGTTAGATCCCTGTGACGGTTATGGAAAAGTCTGTCTTGTGTATAAAGAAAATAAAACAGGTAAATGGTTATTACGGTTATTACTTTATATATGTTTCACTAGAGGTACAAATGTATACTGTGCGCCTCTTAGTTCACGGTACTTAACACTTAAAAATAGGGAAAAAAACAAACAACAAACTTACGCTACAAAAAATGTCATATACTTTAACATTTAGGCATTTTTCTGCTATATGACACAAGGAAACAACAATATATTCAATCAAAATTAGTTTTACTTGGTCAGATATAGACCATGTGTCGGCCATTTTGAAAACAGTATGTCATCATTTAACTCGCGGTAATGATGTTTTATTTCAGTTTTTTCATGTTTCAGTTAAAATTTCTACATGTTATTTTGCATAATTTTAAATATTAAAAGTATCTTTACATTGTAACTCAAAATTTATTTTTTCAACAAACAAGAACATTTAGAAAATGATGATTGTTTTAGACAATTATGCACAAATTTAATGGACAATTGTTGTTTTTGCAGAAGTTTGTAAAATATTGTTCTGTTTTATGTAAACATCTATAGATTTAAGATATTTTGCACAAAAACTTTGTTGTTTAGGTGTTTGAATAAAATATGTCAATTCTAACCAATTCTAACACTGATCACTGAAAATATGCCATTACCGTGAAATAAGTGATGACGCGGATTTAGTGATGTTGAGTATATTTACAATTTAAGCACCAATTGTATTTTTTTTTCAGATTATATATTTTAGTCATTTAAGATCATGTTGTGAAATTGTAACATAGAAAGGGGTATTAAAAGTAACTAGGTTTACTAAGACATATTTCAATACATATTATTTTCAATTTTTTGCCGAATTCATATAATAATTCTGAATCAGTAAGTGGATAGTCTTTGTTGCTTTACTTGACCATTGGATGTTTAATAAAAAAATGTTGTTTTTTATCAATTCAATAGAAAACCTTTCTGTGTCCATCTGCTTAACTGTCTATTCATGATGACTTTACTTAGAGTAACAAAAGTTTTTTATAATTTTTTAAAGGCTCTATTCTTGTGTTATTTTGAATGTTCCAGCCTTTGTTTTTTTCTTGTGTATATAAGCTACATCTAAATTATTGTTTACTTTTGTATAACGTTTTGTTATAAAATTATACATAGGTCAATTGCAAGAGACTTTTAGAATTTTAAATAGTGAAAATTCATGTGAAAAAAGTAAAGTAATAGAAAAACAACCAAGTAGGGAACATATGATTCTTTTTATAATTCATTGTGCGTACTTTAATTGCAAGGAGTTATTTTATTTTATATGTCTGTAATATATTATGACAATTCATATCAAACTATTGGAAATATTAGCTTTTATTAATGTTAGATGAATATGTTGTTTAGTTGTGTGTTTCTATTAAATTTATTGTCTTCATTTTAACAATATTTTATACATTATATGACACAACATGCTTTGTTTTGTTTAACAGGGATATTCTTATGTATGCAATAGATTTAGGCACTGACATATAAGATATTTTTATGATACAATCTTTTTTGTTCTAACTATTGTTTGATTTTGATACATTTTACTGTTGTAGAACCAGAATATAAAAAGTCAGCTGACATAGTCTCAAAAGTGTATACCTCCGATTACATGAATTATGGTAACATGTTTAAGTTCATGCGCTTCATATGCAGACAGTTTTCTTTTATAATTACAGTTATTTTCACCCCCACCCCAAACCGTTTTCATTAGCTATACTCCTTTTGCATGTTTCAGACAAACGTTAATGTATTTCTATATCATATACACACATATTTCACCCAGAAAATGTATGTCTTTATACATTGTATCTTTATTAGTGAAAACAATTCTTATTGTTTCTATACTTACTAAACAACACAATTCAGTGACATATTTTATAAGAAATCTTTGTATATTTTCGCATTCATAACATTTTGAGTTCTTGTGCATTTGTAATAAAAAAACATGTATATCAGCATATATCCTTCAGGAGTTGTATACAAGCACATAAACAAAAGAACATTATAAATGCCACAGTATGACAGGGTTGCTCAAATATAATTTCAGTCGCTCACAAACTCTGCGATATTAACCTAAATTAACTTCAGACTATATTTAGCGGCATACAAAGCGCACACTATATTTAGCATACTATTATTATTATAGTTTATTTTGCCAGGCAAATAAGTATGTGCTATTTGAAACTTACTAATTAAACCTGTTACTGCTGAAAATTATAATGGATCTGTCCTCAGTGGAGTTTTGAACATTCCGTTGTTAGGGGTTTCAATATCAAAATAATCAAACAAGCAGTCATAGTCAGAATGTACGGATATGCAGTTTTTTGTTTCTCTGTACTTGTAGAAATAGACAACTGATGTCATTATAGCAGTTAGTAATCAAAGCATTTAACATAGCATATTGTAGGGTAGGGAAGTACCATTTTATCTCTATCTTTGTTTAAAATACTGAGCCATATTAGATTTGTATGCTGTCACCATTACAAAATATAACCTGACACCATCTTATTTTTTTCTAGATTTATATAATATAAAATATAATTACCATATTCTTATATGCAGACAGACCCTTTCTTACTGCTATTATATTTACATGTTTTTATATTTACAATAAGTTATTATTTGGATTTAAAGAGATTTTTGTGTTATTTTATTATATGCATAATTTTTATGCTTTGAAGCTTTATTGATTTTATTAAGAATTGGTGTAAAGATTTATTACATACAGGTGAAAGCTTTTTTGCAAAGATGTGTGTTTGAATTTGCTATGTTGTATGCCAGTTAGTTACTACTGTATAGGTATGGTGTGTTGTTTGTGCTTTTATTGCACATCCATTTAGTTACCATGAAAGTAAAAGCTTCAAGTTGAAATATGCAATATTAGCAGTTAATTTCATTGTGTAAAGTCAAATGGTTTTAGATATAGTTTGCAGGTAAAATGTTCATTGTTGGTTTATTAAGTCAGACATTTAGTATAATTTATGTATGGAAATGAGATGTATTCTATATTTCATGTCAGAATGATATATTCTTTCATATTTCAGGTGTATGAAATGACATATGTCCAATGTTTCTATATGTCTTAAATGAAATATCTGTAGTTAATGAAAGATATCATATACAGTATGTTATATGTATAATGAAATATTATACAGTTTGTGCATATTTTTTCTTGTACTTAATGTGTTTTTCGATATACAATTTGGCAAAATTAAATTATTGAAAAGAGATAATTGAAAATTAAATGCTAATTCAAGTGTAAATTCTAGAAATATGTATTGTTTGGCATTATTATTGAGAATTATTTTAACAGAATTCCCTAAATGAGGACAACTAAAGTATAGCATTTTTATTTGTAAAACAAGAGTTTCTTCCCTTTAACATGTTTTATATTTTGATATTTTATTGTTCAGCATTGAATGGCAAGCTTGTTGTCATGATATCATGATTGTATGGGATATCATGTCAATGTGTCATGACGTAGGAATAATCTTAGTGAAGTCATTCTGTAAATTAGGACATTCTGTTCACCACTACAGTTATAACCCTGTTGCCTTGTCATTATTAATTTATACAATTTTTTTTTTAGTTTGATTGTGTTGCAAGCTATAAGCTTATTGAAACACTCTCGAATCCGTTCCGTTGAACCCACGTGGTCAGCAATCCTGAGATCACTAGTCCGACGCGTTAACCACTCGGCCACACCGCCACTCAATTGAGGGATATGTTAGAATTCAAAGCACAATTCCTTTTAACAACAACCTGGAACATTGCAGTTGCATAAATATATCAAATATCAAAGTGATAAAATATCCACTATAATTTTTAATCGCAAAATGCGCTTGTGAAAATATTGCATTTTTCTCACTTCTCAGTATGATATACAGCATATTCAATCAGAACAAACAAATATCCTCTATATATTAAAAAGAAGTTTTTCCATGGAATATTAAGCACAATAGGTCATTTTGATAATTCAACATCACATATTTTTCTTACAGAAATTCTAGCTAGTTCTCTATGTATCAGAGAACTTTTTGCAAATGTTAAATTGTATATTGTGACTCAACCTGGTACAGCTTAATGTTATATTTATTGATTTTTAGCCATTTATTTCCTTAAATTCACTACAAAATCACATCTTTCCCCTAAAGAAGTAAATCAAGCTTTTTAATTCTCTAATATTTATTCAACTAATATTTATGATATCACAGGTGGTACAGATCCAAAAATAGAAGTGTGGTTCCTGGACCGAGCCTTGCGCTGGCACTACATTGCAGAGTCATTCACAGCGTACTACCGGCTAATGATCATGCACCTTGGACTGCCACAGTGGCAATATGCTTTCACAGATATTGGACTCTGTCAACAAGCAAAGGTATCATTATTTAGTATAATTTATAGTAAATAAAAATCTTTTCTGTTCTATTCCTTATCACTTTTGTAACTAAACTAATTTATTATTTTGATTCCAAAACAATATGTTATCCTACGATTCTGACATTAGGATTTTAGCTTTTAATTACGGCTGTCATTGAATATTGCAATATCAATAGATTATCGATATTAATGATCTCACACAATATCGATACACACTTTAAAATATTGATACAAGCTAAAATTTATTTATTTCTGTTCTCAGAGTATTCCTAATAAGAGAAGTCAATTTTTTCCATTTTCTTGGCTAACTTGAACTTTAAACTTTGTTTTCATATGTCAGTTCTGTTAGTTTGTAGTAATTGTAATGTCTAATATAAGCATGCATAACACAATGATCCTATTATATAACACATATTTATATGTTTTTTATTGTATCTACTGTCAAAGTCATTATATCGATATATTGTTTATATAAAATTGTCTCTTTTGATATATCAATATAAAATTTTCCATCAATGACAGCTCTACTTTTAATTTATTACCAACTGGTTCAAGACCTTATACATTTTATAGCTTAGTTTTTTTATATTTTGTAATCCTTTATATATGTTTTAATTTTTGCTTGTCTCTCAACCTTTTCTCTATCAATAATCTTGTTATGTATCCAATTTAGAGCTGTCCACTGTCAATTAAGGAATGTCATTTGTAAAGATAGAAAACATTGAACTGTAATTAGTGCGAGGTCGTGTTAGATTACAAGTAAATATAGGTTAATTTGGTTCTCAATAGTATAAAGCCTAATATCAAATCTTACTGTTGTTGCCCCCAACTGATGCTATGTTTTAACTAAGACATTTTATTTCTAAACATTCAGCAATGGTTTAATATGTATGCTCCACTCCGCCTCGAACTTGATGCAGAGATTGGCATGCCAGGTATTTCAAGATCAGAATCAAGCACCTCAACAACACAGATTGATGTAGGGAAAGTTTTCAAAGGAAAATCAGATAAAAAGTGAGTAACATTGATATGATCCAACTTATTTTTGTTTCACTGGCTGTGCTGAAAGCATGCCAGTCTACTTCTTATACTATTCAGTATTGTAGATATGGAATAAGCAAAGTTAATCAGTACAATGATGGTCCTTGCCTCTCTGGCTTCATATAGTTAAAGGCAGATACTTTAACTACTGTATGTGGGTATTTGTTACAGAATTGTAAAGGTTACTGACTTTAATCACATATAATATTCTCAATGATGTTGCTTTAAATTGCACCATGATGTTAAATTCTTTTATGTGAGGGAGCTGTGTAGCTGGCAATGTAAATGTCAGTACTTCTATTTAGATGCTTACTTGTGTTTGAAGTTATGCATGACAGATGAACTTCTTTTATTCTTACTCAAGCAGAAAATTTAAGATATGTCATTTCACTGTATCAGTGTGACTTGAAATGCAAAATAAATAAAGAAAAGAAGGCGCCATTCTTGTAACAGCTGTAAATTAATTTGTACAATATGTCAGACAGAGCTGGTTACAAATTGACACGCTGTTATTTAACAGACGACATTCAGTATTAGATCTGTTCCTCTAGTGAACCATAAAAATGTCTGTGAACATTCTGATGTCAAGGGTTAGAAAAGTTCATGCAGTAAAAAAGCATGGGATAATGCAGGTAATAGAAAAAAAGAAATATCACAGGAGTTTAAAACTGTGACAAAAGTTGTAAGGTTCATATTGCCATAGAAACATGATTGAATAAGGGAGATTAGAGAGAAATGTTCAGGGGATTAAGACTACCACCTAAAATTGGTTATAAAATTATAGTAATTTTAGATGTGTAGATATAGGGCAGGATAGGATTGGTTGGTGTATGCATTATGATGCATGAGGGAATATTAGGGAATTTGCTTACACGATGAGAAACTATCAGTTTTATGTTCATAAATTCTGAAAAATATTGTCTTAACAGCTAATATTGTCAAATTATGTTTGTGATTTCAACTTTAATTTACTTCCTCTGAACAATTGGTTAGAACATCTATGTGTGTATGGTACTTGTACATCAGTTTCTGTTTGATTAAAAACTTACTATTCTAGTTTTTGGAAAATTTTCTTAATTCAGAAGGAAATCCCATTATGAAATACATCCTCCATTGTCTATAGTTTTATTTGGCAGATTATTTCATAACTTGGGGGAGAATTAATTACAGGAAGAATTGTATAAATTCTATTCACTCTTCGGCAAGTAACAATTAGTGTCTTTGCAAATTGCGTCCTTGTGATAAAGGCTAATATAAATATAGGTTAAGGTTAATATGTACTTGGTCTAATTTTGGTCAACTTAAGGTTTAAAAACACTTGTAACCTACAATCTTATAAAATTACCTTGTATATTACTAACTAGGCAATGCTAAAGACTTTATACAGGAAAAAACACATTTAAGTCTTGTTGAAACAACAATGCCTTAAACTTAGAAAATTGGCAGTGGGTCTCTACAAAACTTAAAATTTGCCTTTCTTGGAGTCACATAATTTATGTAGACTTAATTATATTAAACATATTGTGAAAATTTTATACTTCTACACTACAAAGCCCAGAGCTTAAATATTTAATGGCACATAGCATAAATTTGTAATCTTCTACAAAAGTTATACTAATCATGATAGAGAAGTAAAAATTGCCCTGCCCTTGCATTAAATTTCTTTATGTAGAATAATGGGGTTTTATTTAAGTTAACATTCAGTAAATAAAGTATATTTATTTTATTTGTACTGTTTCAGTGGAAACTCTGGAGAATCTTGTCAGTTGTTGCATCATGGAAATAATTGTCCTATTGATAAGGGAAACAGTTTTTCACAACAAAAAAAACAACAACAACAAAAACAATAGTAACAGTGTGTCACACATTTATCTTTTTAGAATTCAATTCATAACTGGTTTTGTCAAGTCTGAATTGATATTCTTTAGAAATAATTAAAAATCTCATTGAAACAAAAAGGAATAGATGAAAGCTCTTTTTCCTGGATATTAATGTCTCTAGTTATTGAAACTTCAGCAGACCGTTGTCAGAAACAGGATAACTAATTTCACAGTAATTATGTCTCCCCAACCTCGGGGGGAGACATATTGTTTTTGCCCTGTCCGTCCGTCAGTCCGTCCGTCCATTCTTCGTTTCCGGACGATAACTAGAGTTCCTTTTGACCTACAGCTCTCAAACTTCATAGGATGAATGGTCTTATTGAGCAGATACCCTTTTTTTTTTTTGGGGGGTTTCAGTGGGTTCAAAGGTAAAGAAAAGGGAAAAACCTTTTGGTAAAATTTCTCTTTTTCCCGGATGATAAATAGATTTTTTCCCCTCCCCCACTCGGGGGAGACTTTATTTTTTTTGGCCCTCCCGTCCCCCCGTCACCCGGGGGCCCTTTTCCCATTTCGTTTGGGGGAACGATAAACAAAAATTTCCTTTTACCAACACCTCAAACTTCATGGGAAATAAAATGGTCTTATTGAGCAGATGATCCCTATTGTTTTTGGGGTCAGTAGGTCAAAGGTCAAGGTCACAGTGACCGTTGGTCAATTTCTCGTTTCCGGATGATAACTAGAGTTCCTTTTGACCTACAGCCCTCAAACTTCATAGGATGATTGGTCTTATAGAGCTGATGATCCCTATTGTTTTTGGGGTCAGTAGGTCAAAAGGTCAAGGTCACACTGACCGTTGGTCAATTTCTCGTTTCCGGATGATAACTAGAGTTCCTTTAGACCTACAGACCTCAAACTTCATAGGATGATTGGTCTTATTGAGCAGATGATCCCTATTGTTTTTGGGGTCAGTAGTTCAAAAGGTCAAGGTCACAGTGACCGTTGGTCAATTTCTCGTTTCCGGATGAATAACTAGAGTTCCTTTTGACCTACAGCCCTCAAAACTTCATAGGATGATTGGTCTTATAGAGCAGATGATCCCTATTGTTTTTGGGGTCAGTAGGTCAAAGGTCAAGTCACAGTGACCGTTGGTCAATTTCTCATTTCCGGATGATAACTAGAGTTCCTTTTGACCTACAACCCTCAAACTTCATAGGATGATTGGTCTTATTAATCAAAATGATCCCTATTGTTTTAATGGTCAGTAGGTCAAAGGTCAAGGTCACAGCGACCGTTGGTTAATTTCTCCTTTCCGGATGATAACTAGAGTTCCTTTAGACCTACAACCCTCAAACTTCATAGGATGATTGGTCTTATTGAGCAGATGATCCCTCTTGTTTATGGGGTCAGTAGGTCAAAAGGTTAAGGTCACAGTGACCATTGGTCATTTTCTCCATAGACAGCCTTCATTGAAGTGACTACCGGGTATTTACATTATCTTATCTCCATTTCCATTCCTGTTTCCATTCACAGTTATTCTCAGCAGTGGGGGAGACATGCGCTTTTTTACAAAAGCATCCTCTAGTTTCAAATTTTTTTACAAATGATTTTTCTAAATAATGTAAATTTGTCTCATTTGTAGAAAAAAAACCCATAGAATTCATAATTTATTCAGCCTTTTTTCCTCACCTTTACACTAAATTCTTATAATGAGATACACAGATGAAACATCATAAAATATAGGTTGAGTTCAAATTGAGCTTTAGACAACTTACTTTTCAAATAGTTAAGTTGTCAGGTGGGGTTATGAATCACCTTTATTGATAGTTCAAGTGTATTTTTAAGAACCATTTGCTATTACTGTTTGGTAAAACCAAATTTTTGTCTCAATAGTTTTTAACTTTTGCTTTTTTAATTTTGTTTTCCCAAGATAAAAATTATGCTTTTAGAAAGGTATGACAATTTGATTTTTTTTAAATTATTAAGACAACAGTTTTATAGTTGTTTGTTTAATTGAAAATTTTTAAACCAAATTTGATTACAGCAGCCCAAGGCCTTAAAAGCCCAAATGTTAAAAATTTAAACCCAAACAGGGGAGCTTTTAAAATTTCTTTTTTTTTAATCTATTTCTACAGAAATTTAAAATTTTGGTTTATCATATTCAAATTTAAATGTAGTGCCCCACATGAAAAAATTCCATGTTAATCCCATTACATTTTTTACATATAAGGGGCACGGGAAAATTAAAAGGGTTTTAAATTTTGAAAAAAATTTTCGGGAAACAAATAGGCCCCAAATTGTTTTTTTTTTGAAACAAAAAGGGAAATATTAAATTGTTTGTTTATAACAAAATAAAAGCTACTGTAGATGTGATATTTGAACATCTGACTGTCACTTTATCCTTGTTTTTTTCTATAAAAGAAATGTCTTATTTGTTAACTGATATGTATTCATTCTTTAAGATTAGAATATAATCATTTATTCATTACCAGAAAGGTGGTAATAATTATAGCATGTATTTAAATTTATATAGAATTGCTGTGTCCAAATGTCTTTGATATTTTAATCGTTTATTCTTGTCATTCCTTGATAGGGAAAGTTTTAAAAGTATTTTGCTTAAGTTGTCTGTAACTATTCAATCAGAATCAAATCACTTACTTTATTTAGCTCCTGCTAGTAATGATGCCTGGATCTTCTAACATCTTCTCCTATTTGTTCAGTGATATATATGACATTCATGTCCTCTATTTGAACCATTGACCATATAAATTATATATTTTCTTCCCCATTAATATAGGGATACAAAATGTATATGGATTTACTTGTAAGGCTTGTATTTTATGAATCTTTGAGTAGGTTTATTACATAATCCAGTGCTAGGTGATATAAATACTATAAGAAACTGATGCAGTTTCAATTAAACAAATAGGATGTAAGGTTACAGCAAAAGCTTGTATCAAGTAAATTATTATTGATATTGTTTCATTTCATAAAAAAAACAACTTATCCATTTATCATTCAAACATTGCAAAAAAATTATTATGTCTCCCCCACCTCGGGGGGAGACATATTGTTTTTGCCCTGTCCGTCCGTTAGTCCGTCCGTCCGTCAGTCCGTCCGTCAGTCCGTCCATTCTTCGTTTCCGGACGATAACTAGAGTTCCTTTTGACCTACAGCCCTCAAACTTCATAGGATGATTGGTCTTATAGAGCTGATGATCCCTATTGTTTTTTGGGGTCAGTAGGTCAAAGGTCAAGGTCACACTGACCGTTGGTCAATTTCTCGTTTCCGGATGATAACTAGAGTTCCTTTAGACCTACAGACCCTCAAACTTCATAGGATGATTGGTCTTATTGAGCAGATGATCCCTATTGTTTTTGGGTCAGTAGTTCAAAGGTCAAGGTCACAGCGACCGTTGGTCAATTTCTCGTTTCCGGATGATAACTAGAGTTCCTTTTGACCTACAACCCTCAAACTTCATAGGATGATTGGTCTTATAGAGCAGATGATCCCTATTGTTTTTGGGGTCAGTAGGTCAAAGGTCAAGGTCACAGTGACCGTTGGTCAATTTCTCGTTTCCGGATAATAATAGAGTTCCTTTTGACCTACAGCCCTCAAACTTCATAGGATGATTGGTCTTATAGAGCAGATTGATCCCTATTGTTTTTGGGGTCAGTAGGTCAAAGTCAAGGTCACACTGACCGTTGGTCAATTTCTCGTTTCCGGATGATAACTAGAGTTCCTTTAGACCTACAGACCTCAAACTTCATAGGATGATTGGTCTTATTGAGCAGATGATCCCTATTGTTTTTGGGGTCAGTAGTTCAAAGGTCAAGGTCACAGTGACCGTTGGTCAATTTCTCGTTTCCGGATGATAACTAGAGTTCCTTTTGACCTACAGCCCTCAAGCTTCATAGGATGATTGGTCTTATAGAGCAGATGATCCCTATTGTTTTTGGGGTCAGTAGGTCAAAGGTCAAGGTCACAGTGACCGTTGGTCAATTTCTCGTTTCCGGATGATAACTAGAGTTCCTTTTGACCTACAGCCCTCAAACTTCATAGGATGATTGGTCTTATAGAGCAGATGATCCCTATTGTTTTTGGGGTCAGTAGGTCAAAGGTCAAGGTCACAGTGCAGTGGGGGAGACATGCGCTTTTTTACAAAAGCATCCTCTAGTTATTTATTTGTTATTTATTTCAGCGTCTTCAACATGAGATCTTACAATGAAATGATTAAATTCATCATACATCCTATGCTTTCATCCATATCTTTGGAACATATTTTGTTTCCAAATTATTAATAGTAATTTACTGAATGATTTTTATTTCAGGAAACCTGTTCCTGCCCAGACACAGTCTCAGCAATCGCAAAGTCTCCGGAAAAAACCAACAGTAGCCTCAGCAAAGTTTGTACCTTATTCATCTATATTTGATTATCATATTACATTCTACAGTTCTCCATTTATAAGTGCATCTTTACACTAAAGCTATGATGTTCATGTGTCTGTTAAGTATAGTCATTACTTGTGTTCATACCAAACATATTTTCTGAAAATGAAATATCTGGTTCATGTAGATGTTACTAGGATACGAGGAAGTTTAACAAACTTATCAAGATTAGTCTGCTAGTTTAATATATCACAGGGAAAATAAACTGATATAAGCTTACTAAATAAAGTAGCTTTATACTGTCTATGTGTCATTCTTAGTGTAGGCAAATGGAGGATTCTTGCCTTCACAAAGTAATTTTACGATATGTGCTGGAAGTAAAATGTCAGAAAATCTGTTTTTATGTTTAAATGTGTTCTCAAAAAAAGACGTCATTAAAGACATTACTGGTCAAGGTCATTGGATATAAGTTGTAAACATTTCAGATTCAGAAATTTATCGAATTTCAGTTTTTGTTTAGTAATAGCTGCGCTACTCATACTGGTTGATTTGTTTTTGTTATTTATACTAACTCCGTTTTGATATTTTGTTTATATTTCATGCTGTACTTTATTCTAGGGTTGGCCAACAACCAGGGTTAAAGACAAGCAGTTCAGCATCGCAGTTAGCTGGCAAGAAATGAAATATTTTGTAGCTGTGGGAAGAGTTTTTCTGTTTGCAACCATACACATGTATGTCAGTAATGCCTCAGGGCTTTACTGGTCAGTTAAAACGCAAGAGAGATACACTTTCCACTAACATGATGCCATGATACAAAATATCTCCCTGTAAAATTCTTCATCTAATATTTGAAAGCACTGTTTAAAATTTAATAAGGTTTTCTAATAAATTCAACTTACGTGTACTTTGTTACTTAATTAGAAACAATGATTGATGTTTAGAAATGTCATACCTTAAAACTTTATAAGATACATGCTTATTTTTGAAAAGATTGGGCGTTTAAAATTTACAATCATGTATAATTATGTAGTTTTTTACACGGATCACGGATTTCTATGTTAGGATGTTCATAAAATAGTTTTTAACTTTCTTATAGTGATATACAAGATAAACTTGCATGAGGGATTAAATTTTAACTTCATGAGGTTTTGTTTGAAAATAAGATGTCTTTGCAGGGAATTAAGGTTGCTGACTTCAAAATTCATTAAGTGCATGATGACTAAATGACAACAACAACAACAATCCGTAGATATATTTTGATTTGTCTTATAAATCAGTTGAATTTCTAGAGCAAACTGGACCAGTAGATGTGTATTATGTAATATTGTAAAATAAAATCTTGAGAAAGTATGACCCCTTGGAAGCATTAATCATAAGAAAATAACAAGAAAAACGCAGACTTCGTTTGATAGGGTCTGTACATGAGGGATAACAAAAAAGTGCAACATCCCTGTTTAGTTTTTGTTATAATGGAATATTTGCCTTGTAAATGATAATTATATTTAAAAGTATGCAGTAATTGATTTTATTCTGTTACTTTGAAATAATTTTATTATGCCCCCGCCATGTAATGGCCGGGACATATAGTGTTACCCTGTTCCGTCCTTCCGTCATTCTGTCATTCCGTCATCATCAGTTTCCGTTCATTATCTTTAGAACGGTTGCACACATTCAACTCAAATTTGACATATGGATATGTCATGAGAAAATACAGGTAAAGTTCGAATTTGGTCATGGTTCTATGATTTTTGGCAGAGTTATGCCCCTTTTACTTTGAAAATAATATGAAATTTCAGTTTTCGTTCATTATCTCCCCAACGGTACAACACATTCAACTCAAACTTGGCATATGGATATGTCATGAGAAAATACAGGTCAAGTTCGAATTTGGTCATGGTTCGATGATTTTTGGCAGAGTTATGCCCCTTTCACTTTGAAAATAATATGAAATTTTCAGTTTCCGTTCATTATCTCCCCAACGGTACAACACATTCAACTCAAACTTGACATATGGATATGTCATGAGAAAATACAGGTCAAGTTCGAATTTGGTCATGGTTCGATGATTTTTGGCAGAGTTATGCCCCTTTTACTTTGAAAATAATATGAAATTTTCAGTTTCCGTTCATTATCTCCCCAAAGGTACAACACATTCAACTCAAACTTGACATATGGATGCGTCAAAGGAATGCGCAGGTCAAGTTCAAATTTGGTCATGGTTCAATGATTTTTGGCAGAGTTATGCCCCTTTCACTTTGAAAGTAATATGAAATTTTCAGTTTCCGTTTATTATCTCCCCAATGGTACAACACATTCAACTCAAATTTGACATATGGATATGTTTTTGGAATGCCCAGGCCAAGTTCGAATTTGGTCATGGTTCAATGATTTTTGGCAGAGTAATGCCCCTTTCACTTTGAAATATTAATATGAAATTTACAGTTTCTGTTCATTATCTACCCAACAGTGTTACATATTCAACTTAAATTTGACATATGGATATGTCAAAGGAATGGGCAGGTCAAGTTGGAATTTGGTCATGGTTTGATGATTTTTTGGCAGAGATGTGTCCCTTTCTTTTTGAAAATAATATAGAATAAGCAGTTTAAGTTTGAATTTGGTCGTGGTTCAATGATTTTAGACTAACTTATCTTTCCTGAATGTTGGAAAAATTTTGAACTTTCAGTTTCAGCACTCATACTTTTAGCCATTATTTTGGCTACAAATATGCTATATGCTATTTTTAAAAGGTTAAGACTGAATAATTTCAGTGCCTTGAACATTGTATGAAAATGGTTTGTGTTAACATTGAAAAGTTTTAAGGGCTTTGAACTTAAAATGAAAAAAATAATTAATGCACCATCTGAAATTTTGGCTGCATGCGGGGGCATCCGTGGCATGATGACACATTTCTAGTTTGTGTTGAGATATGCTTTAATTTGAATTGCATGATAAATGTACATAAAAATAATACTGTTGTGTCAGAAATTACATTTAGAAGTAATACACTCTACGGTATATGTATTTAAGATATATTATGATTATAGAATATTTTTCTGCCTGTGATAATGTGCTTTTATTAATTTGATCACTATTTTTAATAAAATGTGCATAACATTTTGTAAATCATCTTGTTTGTTCATTATTTTTGTCCAAACTTTATCATCCTTTGTAAATAACGATATAGGGAAGAAAATTCGAAGCAAAAGACCCCAAATCATAAAATATACATTATACACATGTACGAGAGTTAAAATGTAAGACAGTCTGTAAACAAAAATAATATAACTGAAGAAGCCACAAAAGGTAAGACACAAAGTATTATAAGCGACGACAAACGGAAGAAATCACCTGATTTACGAGGACGATGATCACAGCTGCTTAATGATAAACTTTACCATATATATATAACCACAAGTAATTAAAACACGTATTGGGAGTTTCATCAGGTTTTTATGAGGAAGTACTGGTGTATTTTTTTTTCCTGGAAACCTAAGACTAATAATAATGATTAAAAGTGTAAAACAGCGCTAATACAAGTTTCAATTGAAATAAGAATATCGTCACATTAAAAAAGAATAGTCCATATTGAATAAAACTAAAGTATATTCAACATGGTTTTAATATGAGCCGCGTCACGACAAAACAAACAATGCGTTTGCGACCAGCATGGATCCAGACCAGCCTGCGCATCCGCGCAGTCTGATCAGAATCCATGCTGTTCGCTTACCAACCCTTTTACAAGTAGAGAAAATAATAGCGAACAGCATGGATCCTGATCAGACTGCGCGGATGCGCGGGCTGATCTGGATCCATGCTGGTCGCAAATCCATTATGTTGGTTTTGTCATGACGCGGCTCATATGTTTTCGTTCGTTGAAGAGCCCAACAGTACCCGGCTTGATAGCACCATCGTTAATACCAAGCAGGGCAACAAACAAATAGGAAGTGTGCAAGGACGGGGTATATCAATTGTAATAAATAATTTAATGTTGAAAGGAGATCAAATTAGAACATGCGCAAAGTACTTTCTTGTGTCCAGATAACACTTGACAGAAGAAAAAACTGAAGTGTAATATTTATGATAATATACGAACAGTACCAGTGCTGACTGAAGACCAACACATAACAATAAAACAACACTTTTCTCACATTATTTATGATTTAATCTGTTAAAGATTAGATAGATTTTGAAATGTTGTACTTTAGATGATAAGTTTGATGACCTTTTCTAATAACAACAACAACAAGTATCTGATGTCGGGCGCTTGGAGAGGTCATGCAGTAAAACATGATTTATTGAGGAATCACCAAAGGATTTTAAATGTGTCATTTGGATTTAATGAAACATACGAAAGATAAAATTCCCAGAGGTTTAATACTGTCACTGAAAAAAGTGCTTACAAAATGTAATTTTTGGATATAGATATTAAAGCGAGCTAATGATTGATGTGCCAAGTACAGAGATAAATGCGGGAATATTAATAATCAAAACTGCTGGTACTATAATTAATTCTAAAGATTAGTCAATATCGTCTTACACTATTTTTCTGCAACAGAAATTGTTTTGAACGTAAAATAAGGCATTAGTTTGTTTGAATAGTAACGCAGGGAAAATGACGGTTATATAAAACAAAACGTTAAAAAAAAAACGTAACATTCGAATATACTGATACTAATTTGATAAGGGTTTTCATTTCGGAAACAATTGCCTATGCTTGCAATGTATCATTTAACTTCATATTTAATGCAACTACTACGGAACACCTGGCCGATTATTAATAAGCATCCTGGACATTAAACGTATCGAAAGTATTTCTATCACGTGACTTAACGTAAACGTAATCTTCTTTTGGCAATATTGACCCGAGTCTTTTGAATATTCAATGACCTTTTGTCCGTAATACTGCGGATTTTAAAGCGGTACACATAGTTTTTATATATCTTAAGTTACTAACACATCACCCGGTACATGTCTAACTTGCCTCAGTGACAAAGAGTTAAGACTTAAAGTTTCAAATTGAATGTTGTTGGTTCGAATCCTAATGAAAAAAACATTTTTAATATTTCTTTTCTTTTTAATTATATTTTGTAAACATTGGAATACTATGTTTTTGTGCATGCCAATCGCCCCATTGGGCGACTTTCCAGTACCGTCCATGAACTGGCTCTGTCAAACCGAGCCTGAAACATTTCAATTTTGTTGTTTTGGGCTTCTCACTCTATTTTACATGTTGAAGGTATACATGGTATAAAACATTACATATTTATGTATGTATCAAAGTTATGAAATTAAAAAAATATGACACCAGAAATTAAGCAAATGATTTATATGCACTAATGCTGCATTTTATTAAAAATAATCTGTTAAAGAAATTTGAAAAATATTTTTTGTCGAGGATTTGAACTTGCAACTTCGAAATTGCCGCACTGGTGAAGTTCATTTATTTCGGAACCGATGTAAATATAACATCGATTAATTTACTTCAGGAAAGGTAAGTCATGTGTGTATGGATAGTATATAGAGGTTTAAGACATTATTGAATTGTAACTTTCTATATTTCTCGTAAATAAAATACATGGACAAATATTTTTTTTATTTCTTTTTCTTTTTTCTTTTAATTTTATTGATACATTTTTAATATATGATAATATTATATATACATGATGCAAAACATATAAGACGGCAAGAAGTTTAACTCATCGGGACAATGGTATGACAAAGAAACAATACTAGTTTAGTCATTAGACACATATACCTGGGCTGTATAAAACTGAACAAAGAAAGATGTTCTTTAAATGTTAAGCATCTAACAGGTTCATAGTACAAACATTATAAAACACATCTTCCTCTTTCAATAGAATACAAAGTAATCCTAATGTGCCCTTAAACTATTATCTGTTTATATTTCTTTCTTTTTTCGTTGATATAGTAACATACATATATTACATGTATTAGATACATTAATCTTTGAATTAAAGATGGCATTATTAAACAAGTTATGGTACTTTTAGAATAACTGGTCTATATGACCAGATAAATGTAAGTAAAAAAGAAAGATGAAAACTCTTTTGACGGGCTGTTAAGGTAGAACGTGACACTTTGCGAACTTTCGAGTACCGTTTTGAAAATTGGCATGCAAAAAGTTGACCATATGTCTGATTAGATTCCGTTAATTTTATTCCAATAGTTCAGCCAATTTTTGAACACGCGACGTCAAAGTTGACCATCCAAGTCCGTTTTTGAACATGACGTCGTTGTATATCCTTGGCAACTTATACGGGTATCACAACGCCATAGGCGATCAAAATATCTTAAATTCTACAGCATTCGACGGAAATTGTATTTTACTTTTAAGCTGATATTAAATTGATCGTTTTGCGCCGAAAAATGTTTGAAAAATGGAAAGAAAACTGTAAATGTGTAAAATTTGAAAAGTTTAGCCGTAAGTTTCGGCTTTAATGCGGCTTATTTAAAAATTCCTGAAATAAATGTTTGATTTTTTTTTCTTTAAACGTCATTTGAAATGTATACTAAGCCAAAATGACTAAAAGAAATAAGAGGTCACCGACTCAAATCTTTCGGTACATGTGATTTTATTTACCCACCCCTTGAGTAATTTTGTAACGAAATTCGACGTATGCAGCTACGTTGAAGGCAATAATGTTCAGCTTATCAGAAGAACTGTTCTACAGTATTACTTATACATAATATGAAACAACAACAACAATGTTTCATTGCAAATGCTTAAAATTTAAAATGAGACCTTACGATGAAAACGCATATTTATATTTAAATCTTAGCCTGGGATTTAGTCGTTGATATATTGCTTATTCATAACGTACGAGCATGTCACAATTTCTGATTGATATGTAGCCGAATTTCCGAACAGAAGCAAAGACTGAACCCAGGCTAGTAAAGTCTAAATACAGCTACATTTCAATATATCGTGTTACTTGAGCAATAAGGATATGTCAGCAGTGTACAAACTTGCTAGATATGTAACAAAAACTGTCTAGTTAACTATCATCGGCTTGATCGAAGTGCAATCTCTTGAATTTATTATCGCCTTTCCATTTTGTGACGTTTATGTTTGCTGTAAAAAATATACAAAAAAGAAGCAAATTTTCTTCTTGTTTAATTAACAACTTCATAAGGAATTGTAATTATTAAAGAAAATGACACCAGATGTTCAACGGCAACGCGTACACTGCGCAAACAAATACAACCTAGAGTTATGATTGTAGTGTAACTTTTTGATATTGCAATGCAATAAAATTAATGATCTTGAATCGAGAAATATGCCAAAAGGAAAAAAGCAACTATATATTTCTATGTAAATTTGGAAATTTACCGAAATTCTATCATAGATGAATATGTAGGCTACAAGAAGTTCTGCAAAGCTATAAATTTTGTATTACCCACTCTATGAGTGATATACTGTGAGTGATATGTATTTCATTTCACCTTTTTAATGCAGAATTTCACTTGTAAACAAAAACTATTGCAGCAATTTGACAGAGTATATGCTAAATAACTGTGCGAAATATTGACAAATTGAAAAATAGGTTCATATATGAAATTTAGTTGAAGCAACAGTCATGTTTGAAACGTTAGCAGCTCAGTGGGGTTGGACTACAGAGGTAGCACGTTTGATTCTACAAGTAAATAAACATCTTTAATACATTTTCTCTCGTTTTGCTTATAATTTTAGAACATCATAATGTTAAAAATAACGATTAATAGAGGATTCACCATATAAAAACATAACTGTATTAAAAACATTACTATCAAATCGGTCTTTGCAAATATTCATTATTCACTTTATAGCCAAATTTATGATAGAATTTATTTTGAACAGGAAAATTTAAAAAAAAAGTACTTTAAACATGAAATACAATGAAACGCTGTGAATGCACGTCTACGGATGTATAGCGAACCAGACTGTCTTGAGTGTTGCATTGTAAATCTTTATACAAATATAAAATATTTCAATAAATGTCGCTTACGGACACTGTCGAGAATCTGTCGATGCAATATATGTTCTGTTCGAATTTGTTCAGTATTCAATTGACACGTTAATAAAACCGGAAAATATTACATTTTACTCAAAGTTTTACTGTTTAATG